TGTACAATGATACAGTGGTACTGAGGTGTAATGATACAGTGCTACAGTGGTGTTGAGGTGTAATGATACAATGATACAGTGGTGTTGACGTGTAGTTGTACAGTGATACAATAGTGTCGAGGTGTAATGATACAGTGATATAATGGTGTTGAGGTGCAGTTGTACATTGACACAGTGGTGTTGGGGTGTGATGATACAGTGATACAGAGGTGTTGAGGTGCAGTTGTACGATGATACAGTGATACAGTGGTGTTGAGGTTCAGTTGTACAATGATACAGTGATACAGTGGTGTTGAGGTGCAGGTGTACCGTGATACAGTGGTGTTGAGGTGTAATGATACAGTGATACAGTGGTGTTGAGGTGCAAGTGTACAGTGATACAGCGGTGGCGAGGTGTAAAGGTACAGTGATACAGTGTTGTTGAGGTGTAATGGTACAGTGATACAGTGGTGATGAGGTGTAATGATACAGTGATACAGCTGTTGTTGAGGTATAAAGTTGAGGTACAACGTTGAGGTACAATGTTGGTGTTGAGGAGCAGTTGTACAGTGATACTGTGGTGTTGAGATACAATTGTACAGTGATGCAGTGATGTTGAGGTGCAATGATACAGTGATACAATGGTGATGAGGTGTAATGATACAGTGATACAATGGTGATGAGGTGTAATGATACAGTGATACAGTGGTTCTCGAGGTACAAAGATACAGTGGTACAGTGGTGTTGAGGAGCAGTTGTACAGTGATACAGTGGTGCTGAGGTGCAATGACCTCGTGATACAATGCTGATGAGGTGCAGTGGTACTGAGGTGCAGTGGTACAGCTATATTACAGTGGTATTGAGGTCAGTGGTACAGAGGTGATCCATCTCGACTATCCTTCATCCGTGGGTGAGGTAGGTACTGCCATAAAGCAGATGAAAAATAACAAAGCCACAGGACATGATGGAATCCCAGCCAAGGTGTATAAAGCAGGAGAACTTCTGCTTACCAGTTGTCTCTGTGCAATCCTGGAGAATATATGGGAGAAGGAGGAAATCTCTCAAGATCTTAAAGATGCCTCCATTGTCAATATTTATAAGAACAAACAAAACTAGTCAGACTGTGGCAACTACCTCAGGATCTCGCTGCTGTCCATAGCTGGCAAGATTATCGCCCGAGTCCCTCTAAACAAACTTCTTCATGAGGCGGAAAACGTCCTCCCAGACTCTCAATGTGGCTTCAGACCATCATGTGGCACCACTGACGTGATCTTTGCTGCCCGCCAGATACAGGAAAAGTGCAGAGAACAGCGGCGTGACTTGTACATGGCCTTAATTGACCTTACCAACGCATTCGACTCAGTCGTTTTGGCTGCCCACCAAACTTCATAGTCAATGTGAGGCAACTCCACGATGACATGAACGTCAGTGTCCTGCACAATGGCACCCAGTCTGAGTTCTTCCTCATCCAAATGGGGTTAAAACAAGGACGTGTACTGGCACTAACTCCCTTTTCAATTTTCTTTGCCAGTGATAGTGCCAGTGCCAGTGCCACTGACAATTTAGCCGGCGGGGTGGACATCCAGTGCCGGATAAAGGGGCATTCAACATAAGACAACCACCAGGTAGGAACAAAGGTGTCGGCCACTTCCATCACTGAACTCACCCCTGTCGCTCACACTGAATGCGACCTACAGGAGATCCTGAATACCAAGGAAGATGCGTATGCACACTTTGGCCTTAAGGTAATGTGCCTAAGACTCAGATTCTCTTTCAGCCTGCCCCTGGTTCAGCCACACCTCCACCATCCATCCAGCTTACTGGCACTACCCTCTCTAATGTTAACCACTTTCAGTACCTTGGTTCCCACCTTTATACCACCGCGGATATAGACTAAGAGATTCAACATCGGATCAGATGTGTATCTCAAGCCTCTGTCAGACTCCGTACTCGTGTCTTTAACTGTAATGAGCTGCTGTATGGCAGCGAGAGATGGGTCACTTTTAAAACTTTCACCAAAGTTTTCTACGTTCCATCCCCCGACTTCGCTGGAAAGACTAGAGAACAAATGTTAGTATTTTCCTTGAGAACAACTGTACGAGCATCGAAGCTACCATTATCCATGAAGAAGCTACGTTGGACAGGCAAGGTTATCCGTAAGGACGGCAGTAACTACCAAAACAGCTTCTTTAGTCATCTAACGAATGGTAAACACAATTCTGGAGGACAACGGAAAAGGTATAAGGGTAGTTTTAAGACAAACCGGAAAATGTGCCAAATCGACTCCTCACCTGGGAGAGGGTCACTCCACACCGTAACGTTTGGAGGAGCACCAAATGAGAAGGTGTCAATACTTTCGAGTTAGCCCGACTGCATACCGAGGCAGACGCTGCAGCCACCCCTCCTCCACAAGATGTTGCCCTCTACATGTGCAACAACTGTAGACGGTGCTGCCGGTCCGGTATCGGCCTCTCGAGTCATCTCAGAGCTCACCGAGGAAGGTGACATCTTTAATAACTCATATTTTTGCATCATAACTGGATGAGCGTCATACTCGATTCCGAGTGGCAGCAAATTAGTAAAGTAGTATGTATAGGGCTACATTGGTGTTGAGGTGCAATGGTACATTGATGCAGTGGATTTGATATCGTCATGCATTGATACAGTGGTGTTGAAAAGCATTAATGTAATGACACAGTGGTATAGTATTGAGTGCAATGATACTGTACAAGAATACAGTGGTACTGAGGTGCAAGGGTACAGTGATACTGTGATACTGAGGTGCAAGGGTACAGTGATACAGTGGCACTGAGGTGCAAGGGTATACTGATACGGTCGTACTGAGTTGCAAGGGTACAGTGATACAGTGGTATTGAGGTGCAAGGGTACATAGATTATTTCTTTGTAATTGTTATGCTGTTGTCCTGGTTCCTGTTCATCGAAAGTCACCTTCTAGCAATACTAAAATCTAATTTCGATTTCAATTGAATTTTATATCCCTGCCCTTGTTTTGAGTTTACCTAGATCCCATTTGATTTTGTCCATTGTTTTCTTTTTAATTTCTGAAGTTTTAGCCTCACTAAGCTATTGGTTGTGCACCAAACTTTGTTATTTTCTTTACTCTCCTTCTTTTGCTTTACTTGTAACTGTTACCAATTGTAGCGAGCCCTCCACCACTTCGATGGTGGACTAGGTGGCCTCTACACAGCTATCCGCAACTGTGTGCACCTTGTTGTGTGTGTTGCCGTAGCGTGTGCACACAGGGTGGTGTAATGCGTCTAGTGTGTCAGCATTATGTTAGTGTTAAGGTGCAAGCACTGCTTTCTTCCTCTCGCTTACAGCTACTGCCGCTGGCTAACTCTCGTGATGAATTGGGAAGTAACTTCCATAAGTCTTCCCCTGCCAGTACACAGCTTCTTCACTATCAAGACTCCTGCTGTGCCTCCTCGTGGCAATACACGGTAACTGGGTGCCTCTTGGGCCTAGATTAGATCAGCAAGGGGATCTCAGAGCAGCAGTGGGCCCATAGGCCTACCAAGCACTGCCCCACTGCCTTGTGGATTAACCTTGGTAGGTACAGTCTCGTTCAAGATTCTTCGAACACTGCTGGAGACAGCTGGCAACTCAAGGCGTTTGATTACTATAGTACAGCGGTTCCCAATTACTTTTGGCCATTACCCCAGTTTTTCCAAAGTCATGCTTAGCAACAAGCTCATTACCCCACTACATTTTGTTATTATTAGTTACACGCTAATGTGCAATTAATATAACTTTATTAGGTTGGACTTTCCTTTATTTTATAGAACAATAATGACAAATGCAGTAATTACAATTACTCTTTCTGTTGGAAATAAATCAATTATTAATTTCAGGAGTGCAATGACACCTTCACTGCTATTGAAATAAATAAAACAATAATTGTAAAGTACATTAAGTACAAATTCTCTCTGAAATAAATAAATCAAATAATAATAGCAGGCCTACAGTGACACATTCAGTTCTATTGAAACAAATAAAACAGTAATTGCATCATAGTACAATAAGTAGCTACTTACTGTTGGAAACACTTAAAAAAAAATACCGTAATTACAGAAGCACAATGACACCTTCAGTTGAAAATTAGGTGAATATCAGTGGGAAAAAATATATATTGCAATGGAAATAATGTTCAATCATGAGAAAAATGACACTTTCGGTTTGAGATCATTTCCGAAATGCGTGGGTATAGCTGTTTAAGTGCACATCTGATATCATTTTCTGGTTGCATTCTATTTCTGTGTTTGCTTCGGATGGTCAATAGAGCCGAAAATCCGGCCTCACACAAGTACGTTGAGCCAAATGGTAGAGGCATTTTAGTTGCCTCTAAACTTGCCAGTGGGAACTCTGTATTAAGGCTAACCCAAAATGAAGATAACTTGTTGGAGTTAAATTCCATTTGTATGAGGTTGCTTGATTTTATTTCAATTATTTCTTCTGCTAGTCCATTTGGCTCGTCTGGCAGATGTTCAGTGGTACATTTGAAAGGATTTTGAACCCATGCATAGGCGAGTGGGTCAATGGCAGGGAAATAATTTTCCATCCTTAGACGCAGACTCTTTAAATGTGCACTCATTGTACTCTCCATGTCACTCAAGTTTATAGAATCATTATCTTCCAAGAATTCTCCCAACTTTGGAAATGCAGCTATTCTGCCCATTTTCAGTTTTGAGTCCCACAAGTCCAGTTTGGTACGAAATGCTTATATCTTTTCATTTAACGAGACGACATTTTCTTCTGGTCCTTGCAGTGATGTGTTCAGGGCATTTAAATGCACAAATATATCCACTAAATAGCATAGAAGGGAAGTCCATTTTGGATCTCTGAACCTCCCTGCCAAGTTATGCCCCTTATCCCCCCAAAACATTTCAATTTCAGTTCTGAGATGAAATACTCGTTCGACAACATTTCCTCGGGACAGCCATCTGGTTGGAGCATAATACAACAGACAATGATATTCAGAATCAGTCTCTCCACACAAAGAACTAAACAGTCACATCACTCATCACCTCCTCCAAATCAGGTTGCAAATTTTTCACTGCCAGTGCATGTCGATGGATAATGCAGTGTGTTGCAAGGACAGAAGGATTTTCCTTTTTCACATGTGCTAAAAATCCTGAGTGAACACCTAGCATAGATGGTGAACCATCTGTTGTGACTCCAACGCAGTTTTCCATTCTAGTTGCACATCTAGTTTCTTTAAAAAACGCATCCACCTTTAAAAATACATCCACACCCTTCGTAGTCGCTTCCAGTGGACTGCACATAAGTAGATCTTCCTCAATGTCCATTTCACCTTTGTACCGGATGTATACCATCAATTGTGCAGCACTCGCAACATCCGTTGTTTCGTCCAGCTGAATGGCGAAGATACCACTGTTCTTTACCCGTGAAATTAATTGATCCTTAATATCGTTTGACAGTTCGTCAATCCGACGTCTGATTGTGTTGTTGGATAGTGGTATCAATTTCAGTCTGTCATCCTGTTTTTGTCAACACATAGTCGAAGCCATGCTTAATGCAGCTGGTTTAATTAGTTCTTCTCCTATGTTGTGGGGTTTCCTAGCCTGAGCTATCATCCATGCTACTTGGAGACTGGCTTTTGTCGCATCCCGTTGGTCATACATAACATTTTCCAGGTTTGCCGAATCCAAACGCTGCCTCTTAAGGACTCCCTCAAGACGTCGGAAATAGTCCACTGAAGAAGTGGATGTTTTCTAATCAGATGATCTTTAAGTTTGCTTGCCTTCATCGATTCCTTGCACAAGATTGCATTGCATACAACACACTGTGGCTTCTGGATTCCTTTGTCAACGATGAATGTGAACCCAAGCTCCAGAAAAGCCTTGGAATACACACGCTTTCTTGAGGACATCTGTAAAAAGAAGTACAGACTTACAGACAGACAAACATGAGGGAGAGAAATAAAAATAAAAGGGAAATAAAATAAAATAACACATACGAATATATGCTCAAATTTCATCACAACAAACATAATAAATTCGCTTGTATAAATCAGAACATAACTTCTATGCACGCACATAAAATTCAACCCACTTTCCCAATTATTCATCTACAGATGAATGAACAAGGTAACAGTCAAAGAGACGAATTATAAAACAAACGAGAATACTGACCTATACAGAAAGGAGCGAGGGAAAACATGAGAGAGAGAGAGAGAGAGAGAGAGAGAGAGAGAGAGAGAGAGAGAGAGAGAGAGAGAGAGGAAAATAATGAAATACAAGAGCAAAATGCGAATATATGTATATTGGCTTATTCTGAACTCTAAATGGAATGAGACAAAAGTACAATAAAAGCAACAGAAAAGTTACTTCTTTAGTATATATAGAATTACGTAAAATATCGTCAAATAAAAGCCATATTTACCTTTTTTGCTCAAAAATGCCAGTGACTTTCATGTACGTCCGTCTTCCACTGACGTCTGACATGTTATGAAAAAACCCCGTTACGTTTCCCTATTTCTTGCCCCGCCCTCCGTCATACCACCCCACCCCCTCCCTTCTCTGAGTCGACGGATTGGCGGTGAGTGGTACTGGACATACGCAGAGATTTAAATCACTGTTAATAATGATACATTTGAATATTTGTGTGTCTGTTTTTAATGTTTTTTCTTTCACCTAAACTTTCCTAAAGGCTGTCGTTACCCCCGTTGAATGCGAAATTACCCCCAGTGGGGTAATTTACCCCTATTTGGGAATCGTGAGTACGTAGTAAAAATTATGAATAAATGTAAAAGTGATCGGTGATTGGTTACTTAGTTCTCCGTTACTTAATTTAATGGTTGGGCTTTGTTATTTCGTATTATATTATACTACGTACTACAGTAAACAAACGGCCATGAGATGCCAGCTGTCTCCAGCAGTGTTCGAAGAATCTTGAACGAGACTGTACAAGGGTACGAGAGTAAACCCCAAACGAAATATCTGCGGTGAAGCCTCGCAACAGGCAGACATGCTTACAGAGCGGAAGAGGTGACCGAATGGGTACCCATCGACTGCACCGGCGGATGAAGGCAATGTAAGATGAACAGTCTACTATGGCGAAACCCAACAAACTGGGCTATCGGCAGTCCACTGCAACTCTCCTCTCCCCAGTTGTTGCAACCTCTTGTACAACTGTATCAGGAAAAGGGAGAGCCAAGATGTGTGGTTGTAGCTTGCGCTCCTGCTTCACGTGCAGCCATCATCCAGCTTTTCATGCTTCTTTAGTCACAACTATGCACATGGGCGGCATAGATAAGAAGGTCGCATATGCCCTGGGATCTAGACAGGAGCAACAGTGCAATTCGGTCCTGTCCGTGAGACTGAGAAGCTTTTTCGGTGAGCCACTCTGCTCACCCTACATGTGGAGGGGCTAAAAAGAGTGCCCTAAACATAGCCTGCCTAAAGAACCAAGCTGACTGTGCAACCGCACCCAGTAAGGTCCTTATGCGGTCGAAAACACAATCATAACCAAAGATCAAAGCAAAAACTAACTATACAACCTCTTATCGCTGCTGCATGGAATGTCAGGACCCTTCTGGATACTGGCAGATAGGGTGTGCGGGTCGGGTGTGTTGATTCTCTGTAACAAAGCGTGTTGGCATTCAGGCCTTCGTTGTTGAGCTGCGGAAATGGACATGAAGATCGTCTTAATGATGTGAATGTGTAAATCGATGTAGCACTTTTAACGTTAATCGCGATTGCTTATTGAGAAACACTCTCTACCGATTGGTGGAATAACCCCAGCCTTGGCCGGGAAGCACACAACCGCAAAGTCATTGCTGTATGACAAGATTTATCCGGAAAATATTTCTAATGAGTTGTGTTCATGACTGTGATTGGCCATCTAAGGGTCGATCAGTGAGTGTAGTATTATGCCTTTAGCTAAGACGGTCCATAGTGACAACAGTGACCGCAGAGGAGGTTGAAAATAAATTGAAGTGAAAAACAAATTGGGGCAAGCAATCAGGCACCACTGCCGGCAGTAACCAAGTGACGGCACCGAGTGTGAGCTCTTTCAAGACAAGACTTGACCAACACTGGAGCAGGTTCAGGTACATTCAGGAGCCGGTGCATGCCCAGTACTTGCCAACAGTGTGTAACAGAGACGTGACCGATCGCCCAAGCGCCTAACGAGTCGATCATTTGGTGAAGAGGATAAAAGAAAATGAAAGGTAACAGAGACGTGATCGATCACCCAAGCGGCTTACGAGCCGATCAGTGGTGAAGAGGATAAAAGTATAAGATATTGTTGGTGCCACAAAGATTTTTTTTTCCTTTTGTGAGTGTGCTTTTTTAAGGATTGAAATTGTGCCTACGATACACCATCCATAGGGAGATACAGTGTACACAGTGATAGCACATAGATATATATTCGTTGAGGAGAACTGGAAAAGAGAACATAAGTAAATAATAGTTAAAAATACATTTATTGCCACAAAGAAAGTTTTATTTATTTTTTCTGTGTTTTCTAAAGGAGTGAGTGTGCTTATGCCCGTCATTCATCGCGATATACAGTGTACATAAGGATAGCACAACTGGCAGACCTACTATTCGGGGAGACGAGCAACAACGGGAACGTTTCGAGTGCAGGAACAACATAATAGTTTTTGCAATCCCAGAGAGCCAGTAGGAGGAAGCTGAGAGTAGGAAAACACACTATAAGTTGTATTTTGAGAATATCTGTAGAGAGGTTCTGAATATGTCAGTCCCTCCTCAGGAAGTGAGGAAGCGAGGTTAAAAGCAGGAGGGCCCCCTCGGGATCACATCAGGGGGCAGCGGTTTACCCCCCACCCGCTCTACCTCCCACCCAGGAGGAGGCGAGCGCCATGTGAACAATGACATCTCTGACCACACCCCGCAAAATACAGTGTATTTAGCAAATGCTGCGCAGCTGAGATTGGAGGGGGGCCGAAGTCACTACCGAGAGCAGAGACGTTACCGAGAAAAAATTCTGGCTTGAATGTCATGTACACTAATACTGACATGTTCCTTGATAAGAGAGAGGAGTTTGCAACACTACTGAAGGTGCATCAACCCGACATAGTAGGAGTTGTAGAACTGTTGTACAAGAACAGGAGAATCGACCCAGAGGAATGTGAGTTCAATATTGACGGATATGACCTATTTACGAACTTTTTTCAAGAAATTTGCAAGAGGTGTGTGATTATCTATGCTAGGCAAGACCTTAGAGCCAGCCAGGTGAGGGTACAGGGAGAGGATGTTTTTGAAGAATTCAAGTGGTGTAAAATTAAATTAAAGGAAGGAGACTTACTTATTGGCGGGTGTATCTACAGATCCCCAAACTGTAGCTTACTAAACCAAAGAAACTTAAGAGCTTAATAGACAATGCAACGATACTCAACCCTAGCCACCCAAACCAATGGACCTCATCATAACAAACTAGGAGGGTATGGTGGCCAAAATGGAATATCTAGCCCCGTTGGCATCAGCCACCATATATTGTTGTCCTTCAGATTTAACTGGTACTTGGTTCACGAGAAAACCAGACTAAGGTGCAAATATTACAATGGAAATTACGACGGGATGAGGAAAGAGATGAGGGGTATCCATTGGCCTGACTCACTATGCTGACTATCATAGTTAGTAAATTGAACCATTTGATCGATAAATATATATCCAAAACCAAACCCAGTGCCTCTAGGAATACAAAGAGACCCCTACACATGCGGTGGTCGACAGAGTTAAAAAGAAAACCCAAAAATTCAAGGCGCGGGTTTGGTCAAGCGATGAGCAGGAAATAAGCAAGATCCAGGAACCAAGCAAAGTCATAGTGTAGAAGGGCTGAAAACGAGTTCCAGAGGCTGGTTGCAAGCGAGGTCAAGTCAAACCCAAAGGCGTTTTGCCGCAATGCAAAGTCGAAATTAAAAACGCGAGTAAGAGTATCGGACCTAAGGCTTGAAGATGGTAGTTAAGCAGATTCTGACCAGGACAAAGCGGAGGCATTGTAAAGTTTCTTTTCCTCAGTGTTCACAAGAGAGGATGCAAACAATCTTCCTGCATTTGAGGACAGACGGTTAGACACAGCGCTGACCCACATTGTGTTCCCAGAAGAGGTTATAAGTTATAAGAAATAAATTGTCAAAGCTAAAGGTTCATAAAAATGTCCCGGCCCTGACATGGTACATCCCAGAGTGCTGAGAGAGTTGTGCAACGAGCTTGCCGAGCCCCTGAAGATCCTGTTCTGTAAATGCCTGGACGAGCGATAGGTCACCAGTGATTGGAAAATGGCTTATGTGAGTCTTATCTCCAAGAAGGGCGGTCGTCACTCCACGAATAACTATAGACCAGTGAGCCTGACCAGTATACTGTACAATAGCATGTAAAGTACTTGAGAGCATTATTTTTTTTTATTATATATTGGGCACTGCCCTACAGCCTTGTGCAAGGTGAAGCGCAGAAGCGTTTACAGTGCCCAACAGGGAAGCATGCTAAGTTCATGCTTGCCTTTATGTCTCATGAGTTAAGGGCGTAGAAGCCTGAAGAGTCAAGGGCAGAGAAGCCTGAAGAGTCAATGGTTTATGTCATCAAGTTATTGGAAGCTCTAACAACTTGTCCCTGAATACGAATTCGCTACTTTCGATTTACACCAGGTACCTACTTTACTGCTAGGTGAACAGGGACTAATGGGGGCTAGGAGGTATGTCCAAATAACTTCCACCGGCCCGGGAATCGAACCCGTGACATCTCGCTTGCGAAGGCAAGAGCGGTACCACTCTACCACCAGCACCCCCTTGAGAGCATTATAAGAAATGCCATGATGGAGCATCTATTACGAAACAACCTTGTAAAGGATTGCCAACACGGTTTTATGCCGGGACGCTCTTGCTTAACACAATTACTCAAGGTACTG